AAAAGCAAATTTTCTTCCCTTTACACACTAAAAACTTTAAAATTGTTCTTTAAATAATAATTATAAGCACATATGTGCAATATATCCTGAATATTTTATATTGAATTTTAATTTAATGATCATAAATTTAATTTCCCTGTCATAACCTGCTCATTGCCTATTACAAAACAAGTTGCATATATGAGTGAATTTGGTAACCTAACTTAGAATGCAAGTACATAAAACACTAGCAGGCCTGCATGGACACAAATACACCTTTACAAGAAGCTCAGATCTCACCATTTTGCTCACTGTAACAACAGCATATGTCTCATTTAGTGATCAGTGGAAAAGATCGGTGGAGTTTTATCATGAAAAGCCATTTGGGAATGCCTGACAGCTGTGCAGGAAAGAGCTTCACAAATCTTTGTGAGAAGACTGTCCCAGAGGAAGGGCGATTCTGTTTGGAATTTTTCTTTGTGCCATTTGTTTCAAATACATATCATATGTAGTGAAACCACTGACATATGAAAATGAAGGAGCACCCTAAAACTAATAATTTCACACATAATGAGTACTTTTCTAACAAAAATAATTAGCCTCAAGAAGCAAACAGTCTTCCTTGACTACAAACCCATAGGTCACAGAAGCCAGGTACTAAAAGACCACAGGATTCTAGCCCTGGCTGGTGTAGCTCAGTGGATTGAGTGCAGGCTACAAACCAAAGCGTTGCAGGTTCGATTCCCAGTCAGGGTACATGCCTGGGTTGCAGGCTATGACCCCCAGCAACCACACATTGATGTTTCTCTCTCTCTCTCTTTCTCCCTCCCTTCCCTCTCTAAGAAATAAATAAACAAACTCTTACAAAAAAAAGGACCACAGGATTCTTTAAATGCTGACATCACTTCTTTACCTAATAAGGTAATACAGTAAGGATGATATGATAATAAGTGAATTAACTTGCAAAGCCATTACAAAACAAATTAAATCATTTAGTATACCATAAGATATCTAAAGAGCTTCTTGAAAGGTCTAGTCTCAAAAAGGAACCTGGATAATAAAGTAATCTCATTCATGAAACACTGAGAGCTGTGAGTGACAGTCTCCCTGCTGGATGCTCTCTCAAAGTCTGTGTAGACAAAAGCAAAACAGCAAGATATCAGGTTAGGTCATATTTTTTAAAATGCTACAAATTTAGTATATGTCATTTTCTTTTTTTTTTATTTTGTTTTTTTTTCTTTTATTGATTCCAGAGCCGGGGAGGGAGGGAGGAAGAGAGGGAGAGGAACATCCATCAACTGCCTCCTGCACATGCTCCAACTGGGAACCAAACCCACAACCCAGGCATGTGCCCTGACTGGGAATCGAACTTTCGACCTTTCAGTCTGCAGAACAACACCCAACCAAGTCACACTGGCCAGGGCTCGCTGTCATTTTCTTTCAGCACTTTGTTATCTAAGAACCAACAGAATCTTCTGTTCTAGATGAAGATAATAGTCTTTTTAAAGTAGGTCACAAAAAAATAAACTAAGCAATAGAGAAAATTCAGACAAGCCCTTGATATTTTAACTTCAATAAAGGAATAGGATTAGACTACCCTCTAGTGGAAGTTTAAGAGAATTCAATAAATACTTTTCAAACATTTTAGAAGTTTTATGGTGAAACACACACCACGGTAATTACAAAGATTGAGAAAGTATACAGAATCTGGATGACAACATTCCATTTACTTTTATGCACTGCCTTTCAATGAACACAGGACTACATCATTCATCTCATCACATTTCACGCTGTGGTTTTGCATTCTAAACTATTTTGCAGAGCAAGCTAAATTGCATAACATCCAAACAAGTCGTCTGCCAAAGAACAATGGATTTGTAAATTTGTAAAACTTAGAGAAACTCCCCCTAGAAAGTCAGCATCTTGGTGGCAGTCTGGGTTTTACTCACTGCTGTATCCCCAGAGCCCACAAACAGCACATGGCACCCAAAAGACACCTGATATGTACTGGGCACTGAGCTGAGTGCTTTACACCTGTCATTTAACCCCACAAATACCCTATGAGGCAGGTACTCTCATCCTCATTCTGCAGATGAACAACCTAAAGCTTGGTGCAGGTAAAAAACCTGCAGGGCCTCTCACAGAAAGGAAGTTGTGGAGCTAGGGTCCAAATCTAGATCTGTGAGTTAGTAGTTCATAGCCCTTATTTTCTACTTCCCAGCATACCTTTATCTTTTTTAAAAAAATGATAAGATTTACCAGCAATTGTCTATTACACAGGCTTTTGTAAGCTGGATGGACCACATCCCATTAATAAAAAACTGACATGAATGGACTATCCATCCTTAATTCCTAGGGAATTAAGTAATCAGGTGTTATACTTAAGCCACAGGATAATGCAGCTAAGCATCATCAAAGGTTCCAACTGCTCACCTCATATAAAGCCTTTACTCTTTAATAAGTGCAGACCCTCTAGAAAACAGAACAAGAATAAATGAGTTAAGTAGCCTAGCAAATAGAGGGACTGACTTGATATAATATTAGATACAACAGTGAAAAGGTAAAAAGTTCAAAGTTAAGGGAATCCTGTGACTAAATATAGGTCAGTTACTATTTTCTCCTAATTATTTTTATTTTTATTATTGCTTGACTCTTTAAGCCTTGTGATATATCAAGGTATTCAGGTGATGATAAGAGATATTTCTGAGGCTATAAAAACACAAAAGAAATTAAATTAGTATTTGAGTGAATATTTAAAACACTAAATGTTTCTAATACCTAAGAATGATGTATAAATTCACTAAAATGAATTAATACATTAATGATATGGATATACAACCTGTCCCACCAAATTTGGCTTCAAAATATTTTCCTCCTATAAAGAATATCAGCACTAATTTTAAGATGCATAAGTTGCTTATCTAAAAGTCACATTTTCAAAACACCTCCCTATGAGCTTATTTTAGGTCAACAAATACTAGGACTCTTGAATTCCAGTTCTGACTTGCTATCTTCTACAGTGAGTCAGTCATTACTAAATAAGTATCAGGCAAATAACAGCAATAGATTAAAACACAAAGGTAGCAAGTATTTCAAATGCTAATGATATTCAGATTAGCTATAAATATAAAAACCAACCACCTAGATTTAACTGATGAACAAGACTAGAAAAAAATGACCTAAATTACTTAGGAGTGATTATCTGTCCATAATAGTGGTTTAGAGAATCCTTTAGCTTTAATTTGCCACTGGTGGTTGATGTCCTCAGATTAACAAAGAGAATTCAAGTGAGCATTTGGGAAGCCCATCCCCTTCATTTTAGCTTCTAAAAAGGAAAGACACACATCACTGTCTTTGTGTCTAAATATCAAACTTTGCCTGGACATTAGAATCGTAATTGAGAATGAAAATACATTATGTTCTATTTTAAGAAAGAAGTATATAAACTGCATTTCCTAAGCAGAAATAACTATGAAAATAATTAGAATCATATCATACTTCATTTAATCAAAAGAGTAGTATCAAATAAAGAACATCTCTAAACAGAATTTATTCTAACCTGGCAAAAAAAAAGGGGGGGGATTATCATAGAAGAACAGCTCTTCAAAGAAATATACAATCAATGAAAAGCAAGCAACTCAAAAGAAAGAAACATAAGCTTAAAAAAAGTGGCTGAAAAGAAAATTCAAAGGATCGTGGAAGCAATTTTTCCATCAAGCCTTCTCAAAGTCTTGACTGAGAAGGATCATGCCTATACCCATACGAGGGAAAAAGATACAGAGGACAACCACAGGGATTTCACATTTCTCTTAAGACCCACAATATCTTCTCCATGCCCCACTTTCAGAAACAACAAATCACTAACACAAGAAAAAATTGTAACAGCCAGGGCTTAATGGGTAGTTTCTGAGACCTACTGACAGCTGTCATCCCCACTGGGACATCATCACTGGGGTTAGGATCCTGGATCCGTACCTTAATGTGACCTAGAAGAAGTCACAACCTCTTTCAAGCTTTACTTTCCTTACCTGTGAAGTGGAATAATAAAACTACTTTGTAGGATTCTTAGGAAGATTAAAATAATGTTTGCAAAGCACATAATGATCCCTGACACATAGTAGGTGTTATAATATTAACTACTGTTATCAACAACAGCATTCTAAATACCACTCAGGTGACTTTATTCACACAGAAAAAAACTGCTTTAGGATTTGCTTATTTCTTGTTTTGTAAATTATTTTTGTTTCACTTTTTTAAAAAAGTGATACTGAAACACAGGAAGAGATGATAGGGTATTCTTACCTTCTTACCCATAAGATTGGATCAGGTTATTAGTTTGAGTTTATTTCCTATGAAGGTAGCTCCTAACCCTTACTTTACTAAGACCTCAAACTTCGTTAGAAAATAATAAACCATAATATTATTCTAAGATGTGGCACTGCCAAACATAGAAGTTAATTTTCTAAATGCAAACACGAGAAATAAAGAATATCAGCATAATTCATCACAATTAAAAAAACACCCAAAATTTATAAACTTCTACAAGGTTTAAATTTAGCCAAACAGGTACCCACATTTAACTGGATTTGTTTCATCTCTTTTCAATTTGAAGAGAAAAAAAGCATACTAGTTTTAAAAGCAAAAACTTCCACCTTATACTAGAGTGAGGACAAAATCACCTTAATCCCTTTTATTTTCTATATGTATACTTTTAAATAGAGATTAAATGTCACAGAGACTACCCTAAGTCACTTTAATAATAAAAAAAATTACAATTGTGTTTCCTGAGCTGAACTGAGCCAGAAAAAGTTATTGGTATATTTTAGAAATCATGCCTACATTTTAAATCATTTTCTGTCTAATCATCAAACAGAATTATCAAATTAACTCAAATTTACTACTTTCCAAAAAAACCCTGTTAATCAATAACGTATTCTTAGAAAGCTTCAAAATTACACCAAGTCCAGTCCAAATTATTTTCATTCCTAAAGGTAATGCACAGACATGAACATAAAACTTACTCAGATTTGCTGTCATGGACTCTAAATCCGCTATCAATCCTGGAAGCTGCTGAAGTTGCTCCTGTAACTCTACCAGGCTCGTCTTCTTTTTTTCCCAGTGTGCTGAAAGCATAACCACCTCACTGTCCACCAGCTGCAACACAGAAGACGAAGGGTACAGTAAAACCAGACTTGACACACAAAGAAATCACAGTCAGCGTAATGAGAGCTGGTCAATGTTATCTTAAAAAACCCTTCTGTTGACTATAAGCGACAGGACACTCAAAAGAAGACTGTGGATGTTTTCTTTCTTACCAAACAACTAACTTAATATTCAGTACAGAAAACCTCAAATTATGGCTTGTCTCAGTGCATCTTAACCCAGAGCAGAGAGAGTTCAGAAATGACCTTAGAAATCACTTCTAAGTATACCCTGTTTTTAAGTAAACCCTGTATTTGAAAATCCAAATGCAGAAAAACAAAAAACTACCACTAACAATTGAAAAGAAAACAAACAAAAACAACCCAAAACATAATTACTGGGTAATTATTTGCTTTACAAAAGGATTTCTTTGAACAAAAGAGTCCCCTACTGCATTTAGATTATACTATGATTCAATTTACATTTAACAGGAACACTTATTTCATAAAGTAAATGGTACTTGTATATGAAGAAATTATTGAGGCAACTGATCAATTCCAGAAAAAGGCAAAAGTATTTATGTTGACAACGAAGTAATTCAGATGTAAAGGATTCCTAATAGCAGGGTGGTGAGATACCAGATTAGCCTAAAATAATTCTAACTTCTTTTCCTGAAGATTGTAAAGAAAATGACAGACATCTGTTTCTCCCAGACAATTTTGTTTTGGTCTTAACATGGTGGGAGGGGAATAAAGCCTAGAATAAAGCCTAGAATAAAATTCAGAAGGAGCAAGGAGAGATCATCTTTTGAAAACATTACCAATGATAAGGAAGACTGTGAAAGATACCACACATTAGTACAATAAATACAAAGATGGAAAAATTCATTATATAACAGGAAAAATGCATTTGAATGTATATTTAAATCAGATTTTACAGTTTAGTTATAATAAAAAAAGATAATTTACACATCCCAAGATTAAGAAAGATTAAGAGTCTTTACAAGTTGAAACAAAAATACAAGTGATTCTCACTGAATCTCACTAAAAAGAGAACTTCAGAGGAATAAAAATATCAAAATAATCTGTGAAATTAGTTTTATATAGTGCTAAACTGTTTCTACATTTTAATATTCTAGGAAATTCACAAGACTGAAATAAAAGAGCTAAACTACAATTAAGAGGTCAAGAAGCTGCCTTCCTCACTTCGTCCCCATTTCCCACACCTCCCCATTGTTTTCCAGTACACGATGGAGGGAAAACCATCATGGTTCCACATACAACCCTCAACTGAGCTGGTGAGGTGACACCAAGCTTTATTCAAGTTGCGTTTCTCATTAATTTTGTATACTTAAGAAAACCTATTGCCTACTGGTTTTAAAATGATCCCTAAGAGTAGTTTTAAAAATACTGAGCAGTCTTCACAGACTGTGATGCAATCATCAGGAAACTAAGACTTGAAACAAGGATCTGTATTAATAAAATTGATTTAAAATAGTCAATGAACTTCTACAGACCATCCGCTCTCTGATAGGCATCATTTTAGGCAATAGAGATATAATTGTGAACCAAGCAGGGGAAAAAAATCCTGCCCTCTTGGTGCTTATCTTCTGGTATCAGGTCTCACAAATTCTCTAGCTTCAGTATGAAACTCTAAAATAATTCCTATATCACAGGGCTGATTTGAGGATAAATAATACATATGTCCTGGTACATGGCATATCTTGTAAAAAGTCTGTTAAATCTTAGTTACTCTGGTTCATTAGGTTAATGACTTGAAAAACCTAAAATAAACAATTTTTAGATATTAGCCATTTCTTACTGAAAATTAAAACATGACATATAAATATTAAAACTATAGTCTAGCACAAGTCTTCCACAAAATTAAAAATTATATCCTAAACATAGAGTATAAGAAGTGTAAATAGAAAGAATATATCAGACTACACTAAAATATTACTTTCACTTAAAAGAGTCAGAGGTTGAATGGTTTTTCAGAAATCATTATTAATAATTATGTAATAATACTAAAACATTTTGAGCATTTTCTATGTTCCAGGCCCCATGCTAAGGAATTTACATGTATTATCCCATTTAAACCACATAACAACCTTGTAAACTAAGTATTATTACCATCTTCACTTTACAAATGAAGGAACTGAGGCACAATGAAGCTAAACCACTTTCCCAACGGCCACAGTGGAACTAGATTCAAGTGTCACAGGGACTCTGACACTTAAGCCCATACCCTTAAATCAATATTCTGGGGATTTTACTCTAAGGGTAAAAGGAAGAAGAAACATGAGAAACTAGCAAAAGAAAGGGTTCTGCAAAACTGTACTTAAAATTTACTAAATATTAAGAAATGAGCTATCTCTAGAAAGCCAAGGTTTCTACGTGGCCCAAGTTGACATTTCTGAATAAATCCAGATTTAATACCAGGAAATTAAGTTTAAGGAGGAAGACAAACCTGTAGTGCTTCATCCCAAAATTCCTTCTGGCGGACATTGAAGTTAGAAGAAATAAAATAAATAAATAAAGCAGGGAATGCTAATGATTTACAAAATAGCCAGAACCTTACTATATACAAAACTCGACAGTTCAGAGTTTGGGGAGTACATTACTTCATTTGATTTCCACACTGATTTGTGTGGTTAGCAGGGTAAGTGGTGGTATACCATTGTATAGAGGTGGATACTAAAAGAGAGAGACTAATTTACATGACCAAGGTCAAAATGTATTAGTACAGAAACTAAATTTCTAACACCCAGTTCAAGTCACCTTTCACGACTGACAGAAGAGGGCCATGCTGGAGCACAGAGTGAAGCATGTCAATCTTAACCAGTGTGCACGTCCAATTGTTAAACAAAAAGGTAATCTTTACCATAAGTGCTGAATTTGAAGGCAAGTATTTCACAACAATAGAAATTACAAGCAAATAATGCACTGTTACATCTAACTTTAAAAACTTGCCTTCAGAGTCTAACCCCAAAGTCAATATTGACTATTTATTCATTTGTACATTGCTACAAGAGAAAAAAAAAAACTTGTAAAAACAAAAAAAAACCACTTGTAGAAAAAAAAACAACCCTAGACATCAAAGTTACCATTGACCATAGCTGTTTGTTTTCTAAGATACTGTTCTGAATTTTAAGACTATATAGTAAGACTTAGCTTTAAATTAGTTAAGTATAAAATAATTTGCCAAACAAGACTGAACTGCCTGTAAGTGTATTTGCCCTGGTAGGCTCGAACTGGCTAAAGGCTACCAAAGACACATGAACATGGTCTGACAAAATAAAAACATGTTAGGTTTAATATAATTTTATTCAAGACAGACATTTTGTTTTATTTTTTATTTTTCAATGTTTCTTTTTTTATTTATTGATTATGCTATTACAGCTGTCCCATTTTCCCCCCTTCATTCCCCTCTACCCTGCACACTCCTTCCCACCCACATTCCCCGACTTTAGTTCATGTCCATGTGTTATAATTTCTTTAGCTTCTACATTTCCCATACTATTCTTGCCCTCCCCCTGACTATTTTCTACCTACCATCTATGCTATTTATTCTCTATACCTTTTTCCCCTCTCTCCTCCTCGCACTCCCCTGTTGCTAACCCTCCATGTGATCTTCATTTCTGTGGTTCTGTTCCTGTTCTAGTTGTTTGCTTAGATTGTTTTTGTTTTTATTTTAGGTGTGGTGTTAATAATTATGAATTTGCTGTCATTTTATTATACATGTTTTTTTATCTTCTCTTTCTTAGATAAGTCCCTTTAATATTTCATATAATAAGGGCTTGGTGATGATGAACTCCTTTAACTTGACCTTATCTGAGAAGCGCTTTATCTGCCCTTCCATTCTAGATGAAAGCTCTGCTGGACAGAGCAATCTTGGATGTAGGTTCTTGCCTTTCATGACTTGCAATACTTCTTTCCAGCCCCTTCTTGCCTGCAAGGTCTCTTTTGAGCAATCAGCTGACAGTCTGATGTGAACTCCTTTGTAGGTGACTGTCCCCTTATCTCTTGCTGCTTCTAGAATTCTCTCCTTCATTTTAATCTTGAGTGATGTAATTATGATGTGCCTTGGTGTGCTCCTCCTTGGGTCCAACTTCTTTGGGACTCTCTGAGCTTCCTGGACTTCCTGGAAGTCTATTTCCCTTGCCAGATTGGGGCAAGTTCTCCTTTATTATTTGTTCAAATAACTTTTCCACTTGTTGCTCTTCCTCTTCCCCTTCTGGTACCCCTATAATTCAGATGTTAGAATGTTTAAAGATGTTCTGGAGGTTCCTAAACCTCTCCTCATTTTTTTTGAATTCTTATTTCTTCACTCTTTTCTGTTTGATTGTTTCTTTCTTCCTTCTGGTCCACTCCACTGATTTGAGCCCCAGTTTTCTTCCCATCACTATTGGTTCTCTATGCATTTTCCTTCATTTCACTTAGCGTAGCCTTCATTTTTTCATCTAATGTGCGACCAAAATTAACCAATTATGTGAGCATCCTGATCACCAGGGCTTTGAACTGTGCATCTGATAGGTTGGCTACCTCTTCATCGCCTAAAAGTATTTGTTCTGGGACTTTGATCTGTTCTTCCATTAGGGCCATTTTTTTTTTTTCTGTCTTGTCACACCTGTTATGTGTGAGGGGCAGAGTCTTAGGTGTTCACCGGGGTGGGGCAACCCAGTTGCTGGGTTATGATGCAGTATGTGGGGAAGGGGTCTGAGAGGGAACAATGGTGCTTGCTTCACTCTCTCTCAGATTTCAGTCCCTTCCGTCAGTTCCCATAAGTAATTGGGCCCATCTGGTGCTGATTCCCTTGTGGGTGGGCTTGTGTATATTCTAGGACCCTGTGGGTCTCTCCAACAAACTCTCCTGTGAGGCTGGGAGTCTCTCCCTGCACCTCAGCCTCCACAGGTGTTTTCAATTGGTGTTTTGAGGCTTTATTTCCCTGTGCTGGAGCCCTGGGTTTCAAGGTCTGTCTCGCTCCCCAGCTTCACCTGGTTTGTCTGTGTG